TGTGTCGCACAGCCAAGGGGTTGGGCCAAATCTACCTCCATCAATTGCCCCCCACTCCCCATGCCCGGGGCCTTGACCCAGCGTGGGGAGTTCACGGACTAACGGGTGGATTTGCTCCGTGGCGTGCTTAGTCCAGCTCGGAGATTCCCCGGTCTGACCCGCTTGTGTTCTTGGCTCAACTAGGGTCAACGCGGCTCGACCGGAGTCAGCCCGGGTCGCGTACAGCTCACGCACGGACGTCAAGCGATTTATCAACTATCGAACGTAAAAAATTCGCGCTAAACCGATTTCACCTCGGGGCTTGTGCAACCGGTTTTCTTGAGAGCCGTTGGATGGCTTCGATCTCGACTGTTGATGCATGGGTACAACGGCTATAAATAGTGGGGTCTCTGGCCACTTTTCCTTCGCCAAATTCCAGCAATGGTTCCTTGAGCTCGCGTCCAAGGTCCCCAGCTCGCGTCACTTTCCTTAGTTCGGTAGTGTTTCCCTTGGTGAGTCCCCTTAGCCTTTTCAATTTCCTTTCCTTTTCCTTTCGCGATGTCTAGTTCAAGTAGCTCGGGTAGCTTAGATAACCTTCTAGAAGGGCTTGAGGCGGAGACCTCGGGCCGGGCTGACTCCTTTGACAGCCTTCTTGATGAGCCCGAGGTAGGGCCTTCAACCCGGGTCACCCTAGGTAGCTTAGAGTCCACTTCGCGTCGGGTTCGAATGCCGGACACGTTCGGACCTTCCACTGTGACGTCTAAGAGACTTCGGTCCCTTGTTCGTCAGTTCAACCTGCCCGGGGAGTATGCATATTGCCGGGCTGCGCCTTCCTCTTCACCCCTTAATCGTCGAAGTCTTGAACCACTTCAGCGTCTCAGTCAGTCAACTTCATCCGAACTCTATTCGTAACATTGTCGGGACCATATCCCTCTGTTGTGAGTATGTCATCCCCTTGGACTTAGAAAATTTTTCCGCTCTTCTCATGCTTAAGAAACAAGCGAGCTACCTTCCCGAGCACAGGCGGGCTTACTACCTGTCACCTTGCCCGGGATTCAAACTTC